GACATCGGATTGACCTTCGAATCTTCGTTTTACATTTTTGGAAGGTTTTGTAAAAATCTGATTTTTCTTCCATAAATTCAAGGATTCATGATGTAAATGAGTATGGAATCATGAAATATAATCAATATAGGATAAGGAACACTTACTCCAATTTATTTCCGTGAAAATAGCCCAAAATTCGCCTAAATCGAGCTCCCCAAACTCAAAAATGAGTAAAATGGCTAAACTCCCCGTTTTATGGGGTTTCTGGCGTTTTCGAGCGCCACAGGTAGCGTGGGGCACTGCTTGTGGCGCACTTTCCAGAACACCAATAATTCCCAGCGCCCCACGCTATCCTGGGCGCTGGCGACTATGAAAAATCTTTCCCGACACGAAAATGGGCATAACTCTCTCATACGATATCCAAATTCGACGATTCTTTTTGCTATGGCTCCAAAATTTCAATACGGATCTAATGCTTCCATATAAATTTAATTTGGAATTCATTTGCTTAATGGGATACCACTTATTCTTGAAAAATCGACGTCGAACGTTCTTGAAATGCCAAAATTATATTCTGTTGACCACCCGAAATCCACCCGAGGCCCTCGGGATCTCAACCATATATACCAACAAGTCCTAAAATATTATACGGACTTACTCGGGGTCTCATATCACGTCAAACGACGCTGAAATTATAATTCATACCTCGATTCGATCTTTTGAGTTTTCTAAACTTTTTAATTTACACATCTTGTGCCAAAACATGTTAAATGAATCCGGAATGACTTTAAATTTGGCACACAAGTCATAAATGACATAACGGAGCTATTCTAATTTTTCGAATCGGATTCTGACTCCGATATCAAAAAGTCAACCCCGTGGTCAAACTTGGAAATCTTTAGCCTTTAAATTGCTAGTTCCGTTAAATGGTCATAACTTAAGTTAGGGACCTCCAAATTAAATTTTGGGCATACGCACAAGTCCCAAATCATGATACGGAGCTACCGAAATTGTCAATACACTAATTCGGGTCCGTTTGCTAAAAATGTTGACCAAAGTCAACTCACTTAAATTTTAAAGCTCTATTTTCACATTTTAATTCATATTTCACATAAAAACTTTTCAGAAAATTTTACAGACTGTGCACGCAAGTCGAGAAAGAATAAATGGTATTTTTTGAGGTCTTAGAATATAGAATTACTTATTAAATTTAAAGATGACATTTTGGGTCATCACACTAACGCATCTGATGTTGCCTCTACAATGCAATTGTGTTGATGTATAGTACAATATTTTGTAGTTAAGCAAATTTTTGAGAAGATATTATATTTCTTTAATCAAATATGTAATGCTAAAAATTAAAACATGTATTGCAAAAACTATTTACCGAAAAAAGTTGTTAGAGTATATTTAGTAGTGGGGATGAAATATGCTAGTTCTAAGGCTCCAATATTCATTCAGCAAATTAGTCGAACAAGTGGTGAGCAATTCTATGGACAACTATAACAGTAAAATCTGCAATAGATCCCAAAATAATTAGGGCTAAGTAATCACAGCAACCCTTTACCAATTTAACACAACCATCGTAGATGAATCTTCAAAAATTAAACATCACAACAAAAGCAAGAAGAGCAGAGACGAAATACGAAATTAAACTAAGAACGCACCTGAAGCTCTCTTAGAATATCTCCATGCTTCCTGACTTGTGGCAACAGACTCTCGAGCATATTCGTACGCTGCCCAGTAAAATTTTGAAGCTTATTCAATATATTCCACACATAATAAATAAAGAGAAGGCATGACAGAATATCAAATTACAAGAAAAGTGGAAATAGAAAAAGTATTTTCCCAGGCAATACAATTTATTCCACACATTTCAAACAAAGACACACCCTAAAGAATGAGAATTTTGAGGCTGGGAGATGAAGGCTTGGCAGTTTCTATTGCTAAGCTGTTTTGTTTGTGTCGAGGCTTTTCTTTCTTCTTTTAATCTATTTAGAAGGGTGGGTGGGGAAAATTTGAGGGAAACATGCGCGCTTTTTTGGGTTAATTTTATTTTAGTATTGATGATGGGATATTATACTAGCGATCGGATATTATCCTCTTGAACTAGAAATAGTGATTTAACGACCGGTAAAAAATTGGTTGCCATAAATATATTTATAATGACCGGACTCATGTCCGTTCTTTAAGAAATTGACGTTAAAAGTCAATATTATTGTAGTGATACTTAATACGGACAAGTTCTATAATTTAAGACGAACTACAAATCTAAAGTCAAAATGGAGAAAGATCCGAATCAAGAGGCATGTCGAGATAAGTGACAAAGTCACTGCCACAAGAAGGACAAAGTCCCAACAAGAATGCAAAATGATCAAGCAATCTGTACGAGTGGGCGAGTTAACGAATATCTTGCAATACATGATTAACACGAATACATCGATATTAATTGAAGACAAGGGAAAACAAAGCTCAAATTATTTTAAAACATTCCAGCAAGTAAAAATAGTACAACTTCAAGTATATACACAAACCTTGGTGTTTTACCACAAAACAGTTCAACCACAACTTGAGGACGTTCGAATCGTCTACGCCATAGACCAACCAAATCCGTCCACTTCGTCAAACACTTCCCCTTAGATATTACAAGGGTATATATACCTTAAATACATAATCAAATATCTATATAAGTTCAGTGATTTAATATGGCAAACTAAACATGATATTAGTGAAAATCACCCTAAATTTTTTAAATAGAAATTCTGGACAGTATTATTGTCTTATGTTGTGGCTCTATTTTGAAGATATAAACGGACGAACTAGACTGTATAGTCTTCATAAAAGTCGTAGACATGTGTCTTAGGGACTGAGAAAATCTTGAATTATCCCAATATCAGTTTCGTGCAAAAGGTTATGCTAAGAATACTAAAAGCAGTACAGGGAGAGTTTGTAAAATAGAAAATCGGGGCAACACCTGCCATATACTTTATGATCCCTTTTCGGGTAAATACAAGCAAAATTATATTTTGGTGCCTGAATAAGAGTTACAGAGCTATAAAATATTTTTCCATCAAAGCTTGAATCACTTAAAATAGAGCTCCATATAAGAAGATATGAAGAAAAAACTAATAGATATCTAGTGTAAAAGAGGGTTTAGTAACTTACCACAAAAGAGAGGAGCAACTTGAGTTTCATCAAGAACTAGTTTGGCTAGTTGGTTTAGTAAAAATTTCTGATGGTTATCATGTAGTGTTTCATGTGATAAGAAGGAGAGAGGGTAGGGGTTTTCTTTGGCATGAAGGAATGAAATATGAGAGGAGGTCCTTAAAGATATCTCACATTGGATAAGGATGAACAAAAGGTGGCTGCCCAAACTTTTCTTCTTTGGATAAATACAAAAATAGTGGCAGTCCAAAACCTTAAATATCTAATGTATTTCATAACAATTCATCAAAATGATATTAAGTATTACACATAGCAATACCATGGAACTTCTTTGTCAATATTAACACAACCTAAAGTATGCAATTTTCATATATTGTCAAATTCATGTTTAGGAAGTGCGAAGTAAAATCTATCCTCATTATAAAGATTCTCAATTGAGAATGCAAATATTAGTTAAAACTTTGGGGTGTTACTCTCTCAATGCAAACCACCCACTATGATATTTTCTACCACAAGAGCCTATTTTTCTTAGCAGAATAACACAGAAATAGACACATAGAAACAGTCTCTATACTTCAGCATTAAATAAGTGAAGCACACATATGAATAGGTTTTGAAAATTAGACTTCTGGGTATATATGGAAAGACGAATACTTATGTTGTTATTGTTGAAAATGAGGCAACAGAAATCATACATCTCATAGACAAATAAGGCACATAGTTTGAAATTATAACAGCTTTTGGGTACAGAGACTAATGTCTTAACATTGATCATAGATGAGCATGCACTTAGGTTAATGACATTACTTAAATCCCTTGACATCAATAATACAGATTCAGACAATGACACTGGCAGCTTATTGCATTCAACCAATAATAGTAGAAGGTTTCCCTTACACCAGATTCAACCTAAAATAACAAAGGAAAGAAAAGACCAAGTGTAAGTTTAAAGCAATGTTCAAAATGTGAAGTCATGAAGGATAAGCAAAGGTTCATAACAAACTACCACACATACAGAGATTTCTATCAAGATTATGACTTCACAAGACAAGATGAGTCTCAAACATTGAAGAATCGGGTTGTCAGTATTATTAAAGATTAAGGATAGGGGAGGCATCACACTTAACGGATTCAAATCAGCTACACAGAATTAGTTGAATAGTTAAACATGATGGTGTCATATTCATATTACATAAATAATCAACAGGGCACAATTATAGTCAGACTCGCAGGAGATAGACTGATCATGACAAATACTACTGATATTCAAAGGAGAATCCGTCCCAGTAGGACTGTTCACAAACTAACAGTTAGATATGGATATAAAGCACTCATGAGTAGGATTCAGAGGATATTTAAGGACTAATAAATATTTATAAAAGTATTTTTGAGCACTCAAGTTTCATAAGTCTTAACCTAGTAAGGCAGGGTTATTCTAGGTATTTCATATATACACTAGCTAAGGTTATTTGACAACATCCCAAATTTAGTATGAAAGAACCTAAAGAAACATGGCATGCTAAACATGAAGACTGCAATAACAGCCCCAAATATAGCATGATAGAACTCAAGAATATGGCATGATGAACAGAAAGGCCTAGGTAGGATAGCAGAACTTAGAAGGATGATGCATGTTAAACATGATGACTATAGCAGAACCTAAATGCAGAACTCAAGAGAATATAACATGATGAATCATGAGAACTTATAATAGAACATTAGGTGGAACAAAATTCAGAATATAGCATATGAGCATGAAGGTTACAATAGAGCAGTAAGTGGAATAAAACTCAAAATGAAATATGAAGATTATAAAAGTTGCAACATGACATTAACAGAACTCAAATGTAACATGATGAGCATGAAAGTATTAACAGGACATTAACAGAACTCAAAATGCAGCATGAAAATCATAACAGAACATTAGAGTAAGGTCTGAGGTCGTAGGCAGATGTGAGAAATCATCAGGTTAAACAACTTAAACACATAGGCTATTCAATACAGAAAATGAGGTCATTAAAGTCACACAACTACCTAATTAACATTAAATAAATACAATAGTTTATCATAGATCATTAACAAGTCATAGTGCACCAAAATAAGCAATTAAAGGTTGAATAAATATTATAGACTAAGCAGTTAACCAAGAAAAATAATACCGCGTTCATGATTTTAAATGAAGCAATTAAGAGAGAGAGAGAGGATGGAGGCATACTGACCTCCTCTTGGGCAGCAAACCAAACAAAAGGTTCTTGTTTAGCCGTATAGGATCAAGAACTCACCCGACCAATGCAATACTCAAAATCAGGGAGAAACCGGAAACTAATTAGAACCCTAGCTCAATTTACTACCCAGAACTAAAAGCGAGATTTTTTCTAAGTAATTTCGTGATAGCTTCTTATGCCTATTAGCTATGTAGGTTGAAGGTATTAGGTTTTCTTGTTGTGTTAGGTCTTATTGGTGAGAGAATTGAAATCTCCCATTTTATAGTGCCATTAATGGCTTAGGATTTCAGCAGATTTTGAATTCAGTAGTGGAAGATGACGACTACTAGATGATGCAAGCATAGGCGGGTGAAAAATCAAAGAGACGGAGGGGGAAATTGTTAGGGATTTACCTGAGAGAAGTGAAGCTAACCGTTGAGGTACGAGAGACCACTGGTTAGAACCCTAATACCCATAGGTCATTGAATTTGACCTCTGGGTGTCGAATATCAACATTGAAACCAGCTAGCGTCTCAAGCCCTCTTTGATTTGAAAAGACGGAGGAGGAGATCTGGCGAGTTGAAATTTCACCTTTTTGGTATGACTTCTTCAAATAGGACTATTGAGATTAAATGATGAAAATGAAAAGGGAGTGATGAGTTTCGTAGTACATAGACAGAATTGATGGCCATGTTGGCCATGGATTTGAAAACCACATATGATTTGAAGTTTCATCTTTATGTTAGGGCTTTCGAATTTGGGGTTTTGAGTCCCAAAGGCGAAATGCGCAAAGATTCAGCGAGAAACAGGGGTAATGAAGGCAGAAGGAATGTTTTCTGGTCATGATTCATGACGTTTGGGTGATTGACGGGTCTGAGAGTATGAGAGAGATGAGAGAAGAAAGGGAAATGGGGCGGCTGAGTGTTTGGAGTGAATGATTAGGGTTAGGGGTATTGGGGGGTTGTCTCTAGGTTTAAGAAAGAAATATGGGATCTGGGGCGTTGGATCTATTGATCAACAGCCCTAATAATTTGGGCATTAAAGAATTAAAATATGAAAAAGTCATGGTCGTTTGATTGTTGGATTTGGACAACTAAGATCAAGTCTAGTGGAGTACTAAAAATATTAAAGAAAAAATGAGGATAAAATGCGAGCCGTTGATCTGATAGATCAATGGTCCAGATTCAGTGTACTTTCTTTGTAAGTGAGAGAGACGAGTGACGTGGCAGATTACGATTGGCTTAGGGAGAGAGGCCCGGATTGCCAAGATGGAAAGAGATGGGGTGTTTGGACTGGGTACTTTCTGGATTGGGCTTGTCTTTTGGGCTGGAATTGATTTAGGAAATAGCCACTTGTATTTTAATTAGGAATTGCAATTGTAGCCTTTTAGTCTTCTAATCTTTTTAAAATTAATTTAAATAATTGTTATAATTAAATAATAATTATTATTATTTAATTATTTTAAATAAAATATAGTAAAATTATAATTACCAAACATACTACTAATTATTTATAAAATATTTTGTCTTCTAAATTATAACACCAATTTCGAACATAATAATCTAATTAATCAGAATTTGAGAAATAATTCATGAAATTAATTATAAATCCTAGATGGTGTATTTAAAAATTTTCTCAATGATAAAAAGTAGTAATTATA